ACCAAAGCCTCATACTATACAAAAAAAATGCTATATATAAAATTTTGCGGGAAACGGGTGCAAGTATTCAAATGGGCGGACAGTCAGACCTGGCTATCGATGCTGAGCAGGAATATATCAATTTTATACGCTTTTTAAACATTTTCAAATGGTTCACAGACTATAAAAATTATAACATCTCTTGTTGACAACCTCAACTTAATTAACATTATGCTATGTAAAACAGGGGTTTGCCTAGGACATTTATCCTACCTTAAAATATATTAACTGTTAGCTAGGTCAGTCCTCAAGCCGAATATTGAATTTGGTTTACGCAGAATTAGCTAACGTCAATGCCTTACGTAGAAAAACAGAGTTACGAGTGATAAGGGAGAGCGAGTGGCTTTGACAGGTCGAAAGAGCCACAAAAATAAATGCAACTACGTCAAATTCTATTGCGCTTCGTCAATATACCCTGTAATCCAAAATGTGTGGACAGTATATTGAAACAAAGTTTTAATCTATGCTTTCTGTGATATATGGTACATAGGAATTTCAGAAAATGGATAACTAAAGCAAATTGTATGACTGTTAACAAATTATAAAAAAAATTTATTTAATTTTAAAAAATTTAACCAACTTTTACCAACCGAAAAGCACACACAATTATGAAACATAAGATAACTCGCCAGCTATCCTTAAAAAAAAGGCGCGTAAAGAAAGTCCTGCGAATTGCTTACGCAAAACACAGCAGGGAGTCGAGAATAACGCATAATTGTCTGCTATATAAGACGACGATTTGAAGAAATAAAATCAGTTCATATTTTGAATTCAACAAAACAAATTGGTACTCTGTTGTTTTCCCCCACCAGTGGTAAGAGACACAGAGATAAACCAAATAATAACAAATTATATTACTTTCGTTTTCCCCCACCAGTGGTAAGAGACAAAGTATAAAATAAAATTTATTTAAAACAATACAAATGCCAATTGTGCATAATTATTATTATAATATACATCAATTAGTGTGGCGTTTTCGAGGCCACAACATCGAAAAGTAAAAAAGAAAAAGGCGCTCACAAAATCTAAATTAAATAATAACTTAAAAATGCACCAACTTATTAAATGGTACCGATAATAATAACGTAAAATGTTACGTAAAGAAAGCTCTAGTGGAGGAGGACATCGGCAGCTAAGACCTATCAAAACTACTGGAGCATCGCCAATGACAGGTCAACTTTATTTAAGATAAGTTAAATCATAGTGTGAAAAAAACTATTGAGTTGACAAAGAGACAATCCAATCTAATAGATAGCACACAAAAGGTTATAAAAAAGATTAGGACGTGTCGACCTTTCATCTTTATTAAGGCTTCAAACTCGGAAATTAAGAGAAAAAGATTTTTGAAATTTGTAATATATATTCTGGAATTTCATACTCAGAAAAGGTATATCTCCTGCCCATGGAAAATTGTTAAAAAAAAGTCGCAGGCAGAAGTAAGCTTCTATGACCCAATAAAGTGAATATATTCAGCTTCAAGCCTAGTCGATCTAGCCATGTCCGTTTGTCCGTATGTATGATGCGTCTATCTTATAACCTATGAGATCTAGACACTTGAAATTTAGAACATAGGCTATCCTAGCGAACCCGCAGTACAAGATTTTTTCTCATCATCGATAACTTGGCCCGTGTTCAAGCAAATCGATCAAAATCAATATTCTGTTTTTTTCGTAAATCTAAAATAAATCAAATCAATCAACCTAGTCATCAAATTTGACATGTAACTTCTAGAATATTCGGAGAATCTTTCAATATTCTATCGCATTTGGATTTGGTAGAAGATTCCGGGTAGCATGATGCGCAATCCTGACTAGAGCTTTCTTGTTACACCCTGAATTGCGTAAAAAGATAGGGTTTGCTTCTAAGACACCATAAAGTATATACATATATATATTCTTGAGCAGTATCAACTGCCGAATCGATATAGCAAAGGCGTTCTACCTATTCGTATGTCCGTATGCATATATGCGTTGATTTCACAGATTGTAAGAGCTAGAGACTTGAAATCTGTGGCTTGTTTCAAATTTTCGAATACTCACATTTTTGATAATGTTTCGGAAGATACTGAGGTCTTATAAGAGCTAGAGACACAAAATTTAAGAAGAAGACTGTCGTAGAGTATACACAAATGCATAAAATTTTACATTTTTCATACCTACATCTAATAAAATGAAGAAAAAAACTAGTTTTTAACGGTATGCCAAGGGAAGAAGAAACAAAGCTACAGCATAAAATGAGAACATACTATATTTTTCTGGATTCTTGTTCCAATCTATATAATATTGCTTAGGCTTCCATTGCTTGTTATATTTTTGTCCCGGGGGACAACTTAATTGACAATATGGAGCAGCGTGAAGCATCTTCGATCCCATATATTCCTGATCAGGACGACGAGCAGTCTTCGAAAACTACAAAGGCTAGTGAGCTAAAATTTTTTAATATATATTCTCGTATTCCATCAGACGAGCGAGTTTAGCATTTTTAATATTCATTTTCTATTTCGATTGTATCGATAAATTACGAATTGAGTTTTTGAGCTTTACTCAAAAATTACAAAAGCTCAATACACCAAACTTGGTATAAAAGCTGTTTAAGTATGGTATACACAAACTAAGAGTATTTCACTCCTTCTCACTATAATGAAGTCCTAGATGAAGAGAAGTATAGCAAAAAGAGAGTCCAAGTAAAACAGATTGCTGAGAAAGTGCTCAGAACACGAATAAAGTCGATCGTGAACTTATACACATATTTCAATACCTTAATAGCATCAAAATATATTGATTGTTTCAGCAATACGTGACTTTCAACTCTTTTCTTCGGTAAGTCAGATAGGCGAGTTTAAGGTTAAGTGTGTCACACGTATCTGTGATTCATCCAGGGGGGGCCACAAGAAAATTTCGCAATATTTTTGTTGCTGTTGGTTAAGATAAGGTGTCCTATTCGACGAACCCCCTGCCCACACACAGAATTTAATTGTAATATCGCACTGATAACTCAAATCTAAAAGATATGACAATCTCTGCTTTTATTGCTGCTATGAAATGCCTTTCACGTATTTCGTTGATGAGTTTGCAATTGCTTTTTAATTACAAGCCCGTTTATCAATCACACTAGGCATGCTAGTCCGGCTGATATCTTCACAGTGGCAAACCCGAATCTAGATAGAGAATAATTTAACCTGACTTTTTTGAGTGGCATTTACTATTTAGCATGTACTTGAATATTTAAATACTTAAGATATCTTGTATAGTATGGTAGGTCGAAATACGCCTGCCACGTGAAAGATAAAAGCCGTAGGTAGCCTGGCACGCAGTTTGTATGAATCAGCATCGTAAAACAGAAACATAAAGTTAGAGTGTCTAGAAGATAAGTGAATGATACCATGATTAGTATCTAATTACAAAAAAAAAAAATTGTTCCCGCCAGGCATGTCCGACTAGGAGATTCCTTAAGCCCAGTGCCTAGCGTCCCAAACATTCTCCTTCTAAACATACACAGAAAAATCACGAATTACTTCGGTACTTATTGTCCGATCTATATGAAATACCTCTATAAATACTTCTAAATACAAGTGTTATTTTCTTAAATCTTGGCGGGAACGTGAACGAACATGTATCCAAAAAGTAAAATATTACGTATCTGTGTATACTAAACGAGAGTAAACATACGCAATTTGGTGTCTCTGCTCGTATCAGCTCCGATATATGTTCAATAAACAGGAATTCGATATCGATTTTTATTGAATTGATTGGAACTTGGCAAGCTATCGATATTCTGACACAAATTCGTTCTGCACGGGCCGTAGGAGTACCTAGGACAAAGTTTCAAGTTTCCAACGAGCAAACAGACAGACGGACATGGGTAAATGGACGCCACTATTAATGCTGTCCAAGAATATGAAAACTTTATGCTTTTGGAGAAGCTTACTTTCGGCCTGCCACAAAACTAAAATACCCATTTTATGCATTTACAAAGTACAGGGCATCAAAATGAAACTGCAATGAATTTGCGTTTTTTTGGACAAGTCATTAACGGCAACTTCTCAGCCGTGACAGGTAAAAAAAAAAAACAACTTTTTTCAACGTGAAATTCGAGAAAACTTGGCAAACGGAAACATTTTCAACAGGTAAGATAAATGGTCAACAGCATCATAAAATGTCTAATGACTTGGGACACAGTAAAAGCGCAAAAGAAAGATGAGAGAGATATGCTATCGAGATATGATATGCTAGTTTGTTGATAGGTCCGCAAATTAATGATAAGTTGCAAGTCTTAACTTTCTAGTGTTTCTTTCTTTTAAGTCAAATTCGTCTACTTGTAATTAATAAGCGACTTTATTTATTTCAGGATTCTAACCAAACCAAATATTCCATTGTGAGCCGCCGTTCGATGTGTAAATATTTGCAGCTGAAACTGCTTTTAAGGTATCGTGATATATATTTTAACACCTGGACATCACATGACCCAACCTATTATTGAAGCGCCTTATCTGCTTAAACATGAACACCTGAAACATAATCGTACAGGTGGGTAAGCCACCCTCCTGTAAGCACAGACAGAACAAAATATACTCAACCGATTGCCCGATTTATTGAGCACATTGGAATCTGAAACTGATTAAAAACACAACTCATTCGTTTTGATAACGAATTTTAATCACCAAAACTTGTTGCATGACGAATTTGTTGCTGTGACTCTGCTACGTGATATCGTGCCTCTGGCGTTTCATTATGATTCAATACCCCGAGCACAGACACAGTCAATTATTTGTAAATAGCTCAGATGCAATCAGCAATAACAACGATTCTTGGGATGTCTCGTAATTATGTGTACCTTGAGTAGCCCATGGCCACGTTCCTTAATGAGGGCGGAACTATGCCTATCCCCATTTTGAAATTGATATGATAAAATGTTTTTCTTTTCTCTTTTATCGTGAAAGGTTGGCAAAAATCCTCGACTGAACCCTCCACGAGGGTGCCGACTGGTAATGACACTCCAGAGGTTCTACTTTAGAGCCGGTGTCAGCTAAGATGGGGTCCTCTGGCATGCAGTAAAGCACCTTTTTAGTTTTAATGCGTATCAGAGAGCTCTAGTCATGGTTAGAGGTAAAGGGCTGGACTAAGGTGTTATGCGACCCGTGCCGAAAGTCAGCCTGGCTGGGGGCCCTTTTTAAAACTAGCCCAGTCTCGAACGGAGCGTCCGGATACCTGGCGCCCTCCGGTCTGTTTTAGCCTTACCTGCATATAGCGGATCTCTGTGCAGGCGGACCTACCATTCTCCGCCACTCGTGGGACTAAAATGACACAAAATCTTACAAACAAAAATGATAACGAAAAGACTACCGAAATATTGACGGGGATCCTGAATCCCATTCACTCAGCAAAGGCGAAGGCTTCAAAGTCTAGTCAATGCACACCGCAGGCAGCAAAGGCAAAGGCTTCAAAGTCTTGTCAGTGCACACCGCAGGCAGCAAAGATGGACAATAGAGCTACCCAGACGCCTCCTGTCATCTTGGAAAACCAACAGAGCACTACATCTACTGTTGATGCTGGGGCGATAAGGAACGAGACTGCGGCAAAAATATGTACATTTTGGGAGAAAAAGAGCGCAGAACATATCCTTCTTTGGCAGAACGCGTGCAGAACGGCCAACCAATCAGCAGAGTGGCTGAAAAAAATTAAATGGGCCAGAGGTGTACTCCCAAACTTCGCCGTGAAGCCACCAAATACGCAGAGACAACCAAAGAGGAAGCGTTCCAGTGAAGCGTTCGGGCGCTTCGCAAAAAAATCGCGCATCCAGCCACCAATCGCACAGATTACCACGGAGATGATCCTAATCGGAGTTCTAGACTACGGCAGTCGGGAACAGAGAGTTCCCATGCATCAATGGAAGTGGGTGGAAGCGGCGTTGGCCATCCGCTGTATCGAGCTGCTGAAGACGGACCCGGGCCCACCGCCTGTCTGCAATGCCGTAGGGTGGTATTGGGGGTCCGTAAAAGTTATAGCCTGCGAAGATAGGAGATCAGCAGAGCTATATAAAACAGCGATCGAAAATATCGGAGAAATCTACCCTGGCGCCAATTTGGTTGCGGTCGATTGGATCAAGGTTCCAGTCAAACCCTGCCCCCGGTTATGGTCGCCTTCGTCTATGATGGAGCCAGAGCGCATCTTGAAAATGCGATGCAACCCAATTCTACACACTAAAGACTGGAAAGTTATAAATGTGGAAGAGGTGCATGGTGCCACCAACCAGGTGATCATCCTGAATAAGGAATCACTCGCCCCGATCGTTGCCGCTTGTAGTGCGCTTAATTTAGGAGTTAGTTCGGTGACCATCAAAGTTTATAAATGTGATGCAACGGCGGAGGCAGAAACAGATAACACGCTCATTGCTCTGGATCTCACCTCGAAGCGAGAGGTACCCGACGGATCAACGCTGGATAGCTACATGCTTGACAACATCGCGCAGGACATAAAGCCACTTTGTCGCTTGGTGAACCCAGGCTACCTATTAGAGGATGTATCTGATGACGACAAACCGGACAGGACTGTGATGGAGGGAGCTGTCTGCACGGCTACTGCAGATAAGCTTCCACAACTATAAAGAATCTTCCGCTCCTCTTCTGCATCCCCTGGCGGAAGGTGGAGCTGACGTAGTCTTAAGGGAAGAAGATCACAAGCTCTTGTTGTTCACTAAATCAAAAGGTAACATTCGGATCTGCATTCATTGCAGAAACTAATCTAAGTATTTTTTTTTTGTTCCACAACAACAGCGAAGCCTGGAGCTCTGATTAGGCTACTGCCAGCTTGCATGACCCACGACACCAGGGAACTTCTATCTGAGGACATCATGCGAAGCCTAGTCAAGAACTGCAAGACGCTTCAAAATGGCCTTGTTATTAGTTGCGACGCAAACGTTCACCAAACCCAGTGGGGGAGCACCAATACTAGAGTACAAGGTGAGTAAACCAGTTAAATGCAAGAGGGCATCGGATCCAACTTTCATACAATAAATACCAAAAAGAACTCGTAGATATGCCACTTACATCACACACTTTCTCGAAAACTTTAAGCAAGCTAGGTTCATCAACCAGAGAAGAGCTGACCGCTTAACATTTATCACAACCCTTAGACAAAACATTCAGAAACAGCATGGCATTAGTTCTGCTCTGAAATAGAAGTAACTACCGATCCCGTATGGCTACAGAAGATTCAACCCCCCTAAGGCTCCATTAAACAAGAAGACAGCTCGTAGACAACATCCTGACTAATCACTCGAAGTTCTAAAGCCGTTGAGATAGTCGTAACATCTCAAATCTCTATCATTTCACCATCCCAACATGGGTTCATGAAGCGTAGGTCTGTAACCACTAACCTTCTTGAGTTTACTTCCCTAGTAATTGAAAAGAATGCAGACTGACGTCATCTATGCTGCTTTTAAGAAGGCGTTCGATTCTATTAATTACTCCTTACTAATTCAGAAGTCAATTTTCTCAACAGGATCTCAGTGTATTTGAGTAACACAGCCTAAAAGGTTATTTTTAAACTCGTTTTCCTTATTCAATTATTATTATTCAAGTAACTTCTGGGATCCCCCAAGTAAGTCTCCTTGGTTCACTACTTTTTACTCTATTCATTATTGACCTACCCTCGATATAGTATGTATGTATACTGATGATGAAAAAATGTGCCTTGCATATGTAATCTATTACAAGACGACATTAATGCTTTTCAGTCTTGGTGCCAAGCTAACCTTTAAGCCCTTTATAAGTGGTACCAGAAATGAAGTTTATGATCTTATTGTTATTCTTGATCATAAACTCAAATTCGATTCTCTTGTTACGACCGTGGTCAACAGGGCCCGAATTGTTTTGGGTTTCATCAAGCGATGGTCTTGTAATTAATCGTAGAATTATGCTTGATCTATCTATCTATTTACATATATTCGATTAGCTTGATTAGCCAATTAAGCTTATCGTAACTATACACCTTAATCGCTTAAATTTTGTTTATCTAATTATGCGTTTCCTTTGTGATGATTTCAACAAGCATTACAGTGTTTTTCTCGAAGCCTTCTCTTCTTGTATTCTTTACTTTTTTGCAAGTAGATAGTCTCAGTCTATAGTCTTAGTTTGTATTTGCTTTTTTAATTCGCGAATCGAGTCGTACGTTACACGACTGCGCCCCTCGGTCGGTTGGGCGGGAGGTGGGATGCAGTACATTGCATCGGGATTCGCGCGAAAAGAAATAAATATATTGAATTTGAGCTTAAGCTCGAACACTCTAATAACACAAATTCTAATCAGAAATAGCAGCATCTGCCAATGCTGTATGGCAACGGAAGATTCAACCTCTCCAGGACCACATCAACTGATAAACTACTTGAGGGTCTCCTAACAGCACAACTTTCGGTTAGTACCTTCCACAGTACGTCGCATAACTTAATCACCCTTCTTAAGCAATCCCAACTAGGCCATGAACAATTTCAAAACTTTAAGTATCCAGGGTCTAAAAATATCCGCCCCGAAGAACCCTTAGGTGCAAACTGGCTGAAGACCATTTTCATAGAAGTGTTCAAAACCGACGAGATACCAAATGCATGGCTGAAACCATGGGCCGGTAAAACTTCTCCTCTCGGAAGGATCTCAGAGTGATCAAACTGTCTTCCTTCACACTTAAGACCTTTGCTTGTCTCGTAAGCTTCCGTCTGATTTCCAATCAAACCAGAGTTTCTGTTAGACTCCTGTTGCCACCATTGAGTGATACCTAAAAATACCAGAGGGTCAAAGACCGTCTAGTGGGACTAATCAACCAGTTGCTCACATGCAGTTTTGTGACATCCGCACTTTGTTCTTAAACTCTCAACAGGTTTGTCAGCAGCGGCAACCTCCCTAGGGATACCTATCTCCACTTCTTGCCGATATGCGAATTTGAAGGGGGAATGCCAGAAAGTAGCTTACGCGGATGACAATCATTTTCACTGAAAAATGTTGAGCACTTCTTGTGCTCCCATCCCGCATTAAGCAACAGAAGGCACAGACCTCTTGAAATATTGTTCCTCAATAATTTAAATAATCTAGCAAAAGTTGTTTTCATTTTGATGCTAACATCCCTGCTCAGTGGAAAGGTTTAAATCCAAATGTGTCAATGATATCGTCAAAACAAATTAAATTCATTTAGAAAACTTCGATCTCAATATTTATAAAGTTATAATTGTTGTTTAAATAATTAGACTAGTTTCCATACGATTCAGGCTTACTAAAATTCTAGTATTTGAATACACATCAAAAGAAATGTCTGGAAACGATCTCGCGTTCTGCAGCATTGTTTTCTATCCCAAAAACCGGACCAGCTAGACAATTACCTCAATGACAGTTATCCAATGCATTTGCTTTGCTGGCAACCGGTTCGCCCTGTTGGTCTATTAGCGCAATTGGTTTGTGCCACAAACTAAAAAAGCGCCAGCTGCTGCTGCTGCTCTGCGAGATGATGTTGCAGTTTTTCAACCTCTCCTCCACTTGGCCATTGGACATAACTGATGGCACGTTTTGGCTGTTTATGAGTGCCGGCCACTGGCCAAACGTTTGGCCATGTGGGTGTTTTGCTTGTCATCTGCCTGCCTATAAATCAGTGGTATAAGCTTGTTTGTGAACGTGCTCTCCTAAACCTTGACCTCCGGTATAAATGTGATACTATATATATATATATATATATATATATATACACAAATACGTGCACATATCTATAGCTGTGTACTCTGTCTGCTTTATTATAAAAGTTGTGCGAGAGAAAAACTGTTCGAACAGTCATTGATACGCCCACACAGAACCCAACTATGCGAACTGAAACTCTCATCTGGTTAAATTCTCAGATAATTTGATTGAGCGTATACACAAAATTGTGTGGGCTAGGCCCTAAACATGGTCATAAACCACTTTTATACAAAAGAACCACTATAGAGACACAAATAGAACTAAATTCTGGCAACTCTCAAGTACAAGCTTGTAAAATTGTGTTTGTTGTTGTTTTCTTTTGAAAATTGAATAACCATACATGAATATATCAGATGTGCGGTTTGGTTCTATCAATCTATTTCCGATGTCTGCTTCCTAAGAAACATATACACTTAGTAGTCGTAAGTTAATAAGATGTTGCTTAACAAAAACATATAAAGTATAGTGAAGCTAAACTCTGCTGAGATAAATAAAACAAATAACATGGAAACAAAAATGTTGCTTACACCAGAATATAGTTTAGATCGATTGCTCCTAGATACATAAAAATACCATCTCGATAAGACAGATGAAGACAAATGTGCTGGCAGCAAGACAACATAAAAACTGATCACAATATATATATTTTCGATGTCGCGAATTTAATCGTTTAAATCTCTGCAAGGCTAACCCAAAAAACCAAGGGCAACAAAAAGCTTTGGTAAGAGCAATTTTTTATTGCCTGCTGGATATTAAAATAAAAAATAACACACATTTTCAGTGCGTAAACAAATTTGATATAAACAAATTAGAAAATATTTTGCCAGCTGCCTTCCTTAATATTCTGAATTCTGCTCTCCATCTCTTCTCTTAGCTTTTTACTACCTTGACGGTGGCAATTATGCCCGATTCATCCTGCACGGAGCCTCCAATTGCCCATTACTTAGCGTTTATGGCTAATTGTTTTGAAAAGCATGCCGAGCCGAATGTAAGCAATTGTTGGCGATTTAAAGCACGCTCAATGACAATTCCAGACACCATTTTTGCGACACTTCAAAGTCAGCCCAACATGAAGTCGATTCCGTTGCCTGTCTTTGTTTATTGCAATACTCGAAGAGTCGCATTTTTGGATGTTTGTATACACAATAAGTTACACAATTTTCAGACTAACTGAATAAATAATAATAATAAGCACATTATGGCAACGCCCATAAATGGAAGAGGAAGAGCCGCATTGCATCATCAACTGTCGGATCACCTAATTGACATTTGGCAGGCGGGTCAATAACTTTTTGAAACACTTTGTGTGTCACGACAAGACACGACAACAACAACCAATTGAAATTCAATCTGAACTTTGAGCTCAACGCGGGCTCCAGTCGAGGCTTGGGCTGTGAGGAACCATTTCTCAACGTGGTGATTCATCTTGTTGACACACATTCAATTAGACCGCAAACTAGCACAAACTATTTTTTTATTATTTGACAATTTCATTTTGAATGCCACAGTTTTGTAGAATTTTTAATTAAAAAATATGGCTTTCATATTTTACTTGGATATTGCTGAGGTACATTTTGCTTTAAAAAGTAGCTCTTACTAAAGGATTAAAAGCGCCTGTAGACTTATAGCCTGATTCCACTATGCTCAAAATATGTTACATTCACAAACTTTACATTCTGCGATTCCATTAGCAAGTGTCATACAATAAACAGCTGATCGGCTTGATTTCATTTACCTAAGCGCCGCAGTTTTCCTTGCAAAGGACTCTTGCGTGATTTATATTTATTATAATCTTTATTTATTTATAATCTTTGCAAAAAACATAATTTCTTGCAAATGTGAAAAATGTAGTTTCTTATGGGAAACAATAAAGGCAACCTATTTAAAATAACAAAAAATTTAAGAAATGTTGACAGTGGAAGGCTATTTGACTTTTGCAAATATGTAAGAGTTTTAGCATTGTAATTGCACAGTTTTGGAAAAATTATGCTGAAAAACATTAGAAATTTTGCATAAAAAAGCAAATTTTGTTGACTAATTGTTCTTATATAGATGTGAAATTTTAGTTTGATTAAGATATCTTGATAAACTTATAAGTTAATATTTGTCAGATCGTTTGATATAAATAATATGTTTTTCATATGTATAGAGCAGAATGATGCTAATAAATGCGGCTTTGGCCAAGATATCTAATTAAATAACAAAAAATAGAAACCAGAATATATACATATCACAAAGTG